CCCCCCCCCAAAAAAAAAAAAGAATTTTGCTTATTTCCCCTATTTCTAGGTTCTTGGGAAAATAGTGTATTCAGTTGCATTAGCAGCTGGAGTTCTGTTGTTGATATCTTATGGAAATTCAGTGGATTTTATTTCCGAGCATTTGTGCCACGTTCTTTGCAGTTATATGGCAAATGGTTTATGGTGAGTTTGAGAAACATAGCAACCGTATACTATGCATAAATCCTTCCGGTGTTCGGTTATTGCACGGAGGTGGTGTATACAGTGAGGATCTTGTAGGCATCCGTGTTGTTAGGGAGGAGCTTGCTACCGTCTTCAGGAGTTTTGACTAATGGTTCAATCAATCCGCAGAACCGTACGGGGTTGGTTTTCTCTTTTGAAATCTGTGAGATCCTTGCTATAAGCCCAACTCCATCTTCTGTGGATAAAACTGGTGCTTTAATAAGCTTCAGGAATCAGGAACATATAGATAGGTGGTTGCTCGCTTCGATGCTCCCTCAGTCTGTTGTCCTCTCACGCAAACCAAAAAAAGAAAAAAGAAAAAAGAAAAAAAGAAAGATGGGTCAGACCTTTCAACTCCTTAAGACCTTTCTACCGTACAAACAGTCCTAGAGGTCAAGTTCCTTCAAATGGAAGGTAAATAGACTCGGTACCTTGACAGCTGGTTGTTATGTTCCCCCTTGATTAACTCTTCTTCGATCTACTCCCATCCCAACCTATTCGCTGGGTGTTACTCATTGAGGCATTTCCCCTGGTTATGCTTTTTCTTCAGACATTTAAGATATTTTATTTATGGCATCTGACTTTGTAAACGCTAATAATCATCAGCTGACCCGTCTCTGATAAAGGAATCCTTTTTTACTGAGAACCGCATGCTTTGTTATTCTTGGGTACTTGGGTACAGGGGGGGGTCCCTCTTTTGTATCGCCTCAGTGTACTGTATACTTTGTTCCATCTGAAGCCATCTGCGCGCCTGTTGGGGCCGGGTTCATTTCATCCGTGACCCGATCGCGACCGAAATCATCTCCTTTACATAGTGTGGCTATAACTGTAGATATTTCGCAAAAACAATGCCTATCGTCTGCATTTTGGGCAAAGAGATCGAGTTTCCAGCTTTACAGAGTTTGTGCGACTTCTGTGCATCGAAAGGAGCCGTACGTGATCAAGTCAGCTTACTACTTATATAAAGGAGAGCCTAATTAAGATAGTTTAATTTCAGGTTCAAAGCTCACCCGACGAACATTTTAAGATGGATTTTAAAACCAGCTCGCGGAGTAGGAAAAATACTTCCTTGCGCGTGATAAAGAGCGATAAATGAACGTTAGGATGCTAATGTAAACGGACGCTCATCATGATCAGATATCAAAGTCGACGCTGCATCATCATGAGTACTAAGATTGTGACCCAGCTGGCGGGGTCACAGGTGTGACGAATTAGGGGGAGGCCAGATTGACGGTGGTCCCCGTGACACGTGTGATTCCTCTGTCTATATAGTTTTGGTGATGATGTCGTGAACAATTCAGTAAAAAAGAAGAAGAATTTTTTTAACATTTAATTAGTTGGGGTTAAGATTCAAACAATTTTTTAAGATGCGAACATTTATGTGTGTGCGCGTGGGTGTCTCAAAGATCCCGATCACAGAATGCAATTGTGTGAGGATGATCTCATTCATGCTCAAGAGGACGGAGACTTGGGGGGCACGTGTAATAACGAAGAGGAGAAAGACAAAAAAACCAGCCATGATCACGTTTAGATGCTGTCCCGGTCGTTTTCCCAGTTATAAATGAGGATGAGCGATGTGGGACTATCTTTTGTTTTTGTTTTAAATTTTTTGTTTTTCTCTTTATACAGCTAGCTAAAGCTAATAAGTTGGCTTCGCGCAGCTAGGAAAAAAATGTCCTAGCTGCTGGAGGATGTATACGCTATACTAAAAATCATGGAGCTGCTAGGGTATAATTAATCACATGGTGACAAGCGCGCGCTTAACCGTAGATTTTTTTTTTTTTTTTTTTTGAAGTTATATATTGATCGTACGTACTGATATAATATTATAGATGCAAATATTAATATATTGTTGTACTGATTGTAATGCCAGTTATTGAGGGCGAACCAATTAAACCCACCGAATCAGTTTCTAGAAATTTTCAGTTATGAACAAATCAGGTGGGCTATTCGATCTCATCAAATGAACTTTCTCTAAATTCCACGCTTCCTCCTTCTTCTATTGGCCAACAAATCATCGATCCTCTCCCCTTTCCTAATTACTGGGTAGTCATAACCGACAGTTTGCTAACTACTAACTGCGCTGATAAATTAAAGTATGTTGATCGATCATATTGATCGATTAGAATTGATAGCGGAACATAAGTCGATCACGATCGATCTGCATTCCCTCTCCGTATGAGGATATTCATATAGAGCCACAATGCTAGGATTTTTTTTTTTTTTTTTTACCTTTCTTTTTCTTTTGCCCACCCTTCTTCTCTCCTAACACTAATAAGCTTGGGCTTGCAACCAGGAATGCAACGAGTAATGGGCGGTGGTCCAGCAACAGGGGTTGATGCTGGTACGGAGTACTGGCACTCTGAAAGCTATGCGTCGACAGCAGCAGTCGGACGCGCAGCTGTCCTTTTTCATGGACGGCCCCACCCCCCGCCCCCCCCCCCCCACCATCCCCACACACACACTGGACGTCGGTCACACGTTCTTACATTACATTATATATATATATATATATATATGGATATATGTATGTATGTATGTATGTCGACGTATGTACGTGGTGGGGTCCACCGTTTACTCCTCCTGTGTCCACCCCGCAGTCCGTCGAGACTCCGACAGCTCCTACTTACACGCCCGTACGTACGTAGCAGGATCCAGATTCTAAAATTTTCCCGCTTCAAAAAAAAAAAAAAAAAAAAAAAAAATTGGTCGAGTATAATTAATGGAATGACTTTAGTTAGTTAGTTACTTCTCCTGGTCCTGGTGCACGCAGAACCGATGGTCATTCGTTTCACAGCCCCGCGCGCGCGGTAACTGAACAAAACGATGATTTAAGTACTAATAATGCATGCGATGGCTGCGCTCGTCTCGTACGTTCATGTATATATGCAATATATTTATTTGTTTATTTATTTTTGAATTGGTGAGCAAGTGATCAGTTTGTCAAACTTTCTTAATTCCCGGGGTATTCGCCGAACTGCGGAACGGCCGCCCGGAGGAGAAAGGGCCGGCCGGTCGAGTTCGATCGGATCCGGGATTAAATTAGATGGCGGCGACAGAAGGAAATTAAGGTGGAAGAGGAAAGGAAGAGAAATGATGACGTGGCCTCAAATTGACAATTGTCAGACGTTTACTGGTTAGAGGTGCTGGTGACGTGGTACAGCTAATGTACTCGGATACTTTCTCCATGTCATAGGACTCAGCGTCCCTGTATCAAAACCTTAAATTAATTTGGCCTCGTTTGGTAAAGGGTTAAGGAAGAGAGATTAAAAAAAAAAGATTAACATAGTTAGCTCATTCGGTAATCCGAAGCACTAAATTATTAACCCGTTAAATAAGTTTTATTTTAACCCTTATGATCATTTTTAGTGTTTGTGAATAACAATGATTTTAGCTATTTTCTTTATAATTAGAGAGGTTAACTCTTAATCCTTCTAAATAGGAATATTAGTAAACCCCTCATTTTGAGGGGTTAACTCATTTTAATCACTCTAGAGGGGTTAGCTTAACCTTTCTATATATTTTGTGTTTGGCGAATTTTATAGAGGGTTAACTCATTTTAACCATTATATAGATTTTTTATGTTTGGTAGGTTAAGAAGGGGTTAAGTCTCTTTAACCTCTCACTTAACCTATTACCAATCGGCACCTTAAGGTTTGATGGTTATAGTCTTACATGTATTCTAACAAGAGCCGAGATTACGTCGAGGAATCTAAAAGATTGAAGATTGATTTGACGACTCTATTAAATGTGAAACAAATAATTATAATACGAAAAGTGCTAAACTACCAAATCAGTATTTAAATTAGACTATGTTTACCACTTTGGTATTTAAAATGCTCTCACATCTTTTTAGTATTTGAAGTGTACAAAAATGATGGTTATAGTCTTATTTTTCTTCTCCTTCAATCTCCTTAAAATTAAAATTTTCCCTGTCCCTTATACCCAATAAGATCCTCCTTTACCCTCTCTTCTTTTTCATCATAGAGCCCCCTTCTTCTTCGATCTCCTTCAACCTCCTCCTATTCAAACCTAAACCCTAATCCGAATGAGCAACCTCTTGTTTGGATTAAGGTTTTAATTTGAATTTTGGATTAGGGTTTGGGTTTAACTTGGGAGAGGTTAAAAGAGAAGGAGGGGCTAGAGAGAAAGAAAGGATGAAAGACGTTTTTATTGGCTAAATGGACAAGAAAAATTTGAGTTTAGGGAGAATGTTGAAGGAGAAAAGGAGTGTAAATACAATAAATTTAAGAGTTCAGAGGGGTGAAAGAAATTTTTCCAACAGTTCTCATCGGAAAAGCTGACGAGTTTTAATCGTCAGCACTTTTACACACTTTAAATACCAAAAAGACGCCAGAGCATTTTTTTAATACTAGAGTGGTAAGCAGAGTTTATCTTAAATACCAATTTGATAGTTAAGTTTAGCCAATGAAAAAGGATATTGATTAATCTCATAATAATTATTACTACTGTTTCGAGAAATAAATAACTATATTTAGCTATATATGATTATATATATATAAGGGAAATGTCAATCACGCACTTCTGCTTTTGCAGCAAGTATTATATGATATAAATAATACGTGTAGAGACGCGGCGAAAAAATTAGGATCTACAGTAACCCTCGGGTCGGTCGACAGATGGAGCGAGGGCGGTTGACCTACGCAATCGCCAGGATGAAGGGTTTACAGGAGTTTCGGTCGGTCGGTCGATCGAAGGGGTACGACCGGTCGACCGATCTCGTGCACGTTACAGGGCTGATTTTT